AAAAAAACTGGCCAAAACATACAGAAATTATCTGAACCACCTTGTTTGACTATGGGTCATATCATCCCCCCCATTGCAGAGAGGGTCCTGTCCCATACCCAGAGGAAAGAATGGTGCTCAGGAGGCCAAGGAGAATCTAGACAGGCAGGCCTTGCTAGGCATCCCCTCTCAGTCTATTAGCTTCGGATCAAATATTGGATTGGACTTTTTGTCCAATCACATTTCTACATAGCTGTCCATACTGTATTGTACCTAAGCATAAAAATGAACAATTTCCCCTGTATCTTTGAGTCTTCATTCTGAAGGTACCTGTGTATACATGTTAAATAGATGTATATGCCTTTCCTCCAATTAATCTGCTTTTTGCTAGTCGATTTTTCAGTGAACCTTCAGAGAAACAAGGGGAAAGTTCTCCCTTGTCCCCTGTAGTGGCCAGGCCTCAGCCCAGCTTCATACGCCAGCTCTGCCACTGACCAGCCATTGGCCCTTGGCATTTCCCTCTCTGTGCATCAGTTTTCTCTATGGGAAATGAGGATTATGGTAGAGGGCTTACCTCTTTGTGGTGAGAACGCACATGTGAAATTACATTTGACAAACTTAGAGCAGCACCAAGTGTGTAGAAAAGTTAGTTACCAAGATGGTGGGCACCATTTACTAACCAAAGTACTGCTGCTGTGAGGAAACCGTGTAAATAGAGTTTATAGTTTCTTTGGCTGGCCAGCTTTAACTTTTTGTGGTTCTTAAAAATTTCAGATTTTGGACTGGTGCAGTGGCTTACACCTGTAATCAGCACTTTGGGAGGCTGAGGCAGGTGGATCACGAGGTCAGGAGTTCAAGACCAGCCTGGCCAAGGTGGTAAAACCCCATCTCTACTAAAAATACAAAATACAAAAATTAGCCAGACGTGGTGGTGGATGCCTGTAATCCCAGCTACTCAGGAGGCTGAGGCAGAGAATTGCTTGAACCCAGGAGGCAGAGGTTGCAGTGAGCAGAGATTGTGCCACTGCACTCCAGCCTGGGCAACAGAGTAAGACTCTGTCTCAAAAAAAAAAATTCAGATTTTCAGAGGGATTTCCTTGATTTCCATTTCTGAGGTTACAATGAGATTTTATTGTTATTTCTTATATTATGCTTTATATTTACACTTTATATTTGAAAGTTAATAAAGCAAATTACATATATTTGCTTTATTAATTTACAAATATAAAGTGTAAATATAAAGCATAATATAAGAAATGTAGTTACAAAGCAAATATATGTAATTTGACTTATTAACTTACAAGCAAAATTAATTAAAATGATTTTATCAATCACTGTGATTTTTCAAGGAATCACGAATACTATGACAGCTGGAAGAGCAATTCCTGGGACCAGAGGCGTTACCCTGCAGCTGTTGTTTCACCCAGTTCTGCAATATACCACAAGAGGGCGCCAGAAGATTTCTTTTGAACACACACAAGCGCAGGCTGAAGGTTTTGTTCTTGTGGTACCAAAATAGTCACAAGATGGTGCTAATAGATTCCTTTGAAAACCTAAGTGGGCAGTCTCGGTTTGGTTATCTAAATTATATAAAAACTAATGCTGCAGTTATCACTTTAATTAGAACAATATAACTCATGAGGTCGAGTGCAAACTTTTTAATTCAAACATAGACCAAATAGTCTCTGTTCTAGATCTAATCATAGGAAACATCTTGGAGAGAAAGTTTCTGTCTCTATTAATCAAGTAGTTTTAAAAAATATATTTATATATATTTAACAAATATATAACATTGTTTACTATATATTAATATATTATATATTTATATTAAATATAATATATAAATATATTGATATATAAATAATATATTATATATTATCTATTTAGATATATATTTATATATATATATATAAAAAACAAATATATAACAAATATATTACCCAGGCTGGAGTGCAATGGCGTGGTCTCAGCTCACAGCAACCTCCGCCTCCCAGGTTCAAGCAATTCTCCTGCCTCAGTCTCCTGAGCAGCTGGGATTATAGGTGTCTGTCACCTTACCCTGCTAATTTTTTGTATTTTTAGTAGAGACAGGGTTTCACCATGTTGACCAGCCTGGTCTCAAACCTCTGACCTCACATGATCCACCCACCTCAGCCTCCCAAAGTGCTGGGATTACAAATGTGAGCCACCGCACCTGGCCCAAAAGCATATTTTTAAAAATCACATTTAACAGGTGGTGAGTTAGCAGTCCTATTTCACAGAAAGGATGGGGTTCTTGAGATCTGCTCTAAGGAGCCCCTGCCTTGAGGAATGATTGTGAGGGAAGAGCTGCCTTAGTGAGTTCTGGTTTCTTTTCATTACAAGTTTATTCCTCAGCAAATTAGAAACTTGCTGGAAGAAAAGTAACAGGCCATCTCTGGCGTCCTGATTTTTGTTCAAAGAATAGCGCAAAACATGATTTTAGACAAGAAAAATAAAAGCAGGACTTTGTCGTGTCTTTTCTTCTGAGCCCCTAGCGAAGCCTGAGCTCACCTTCCCGTGGGGCGGGAGGGCCCCAGCAACTAAGTGATGAAGAATGAGGCTGAGGGACAAACTCAAAGCAGAATGTGTACATAGCTTTTAAGAATATGATACAGCAGCCTCAAGAACAGGAGCCTGGGGTATTCAGATGTCCTAACAGGAGGAATCAAATAGTGCCAATTCCTTCAAATCAGTTTCTCTACTATTTCACTTTCTCTTTTTTGTTTTATATAAAGAACAGGCTTAAGAACAATCACGCAATAATGAAGTAAGAAAAAGCCCTAAAGTCAGGAATGAAGGAATCCCACTTTTATTGTGTCAAAATTGCTAGAAGCCTAGACTAGAAGCAGGAGGGGAAGGAGAGAAGCCAAGAGGGACTGAAGGAGACCGCGATGGAAAAACCACTCCCACCGGCAACGGCTTAGTGCCCTCCCACTCAGAACTCATAGAATTCTCAAAATAACTCTACCAGTTTGGTGCTTTCACCTTCACGTGACAGATAGGGAAACTGAGAATATGAGGAGGTAAGTCACTTTTTCAAGGTCACACAACTAGTAAAGGGTGGAACCAGGAGTCAACCCAGATAGCTATGAAATGCCAAGTATGTGGAATTTAATAAAAGCTGACACCAGATCATCCAGAACCTTTCATATTTACTCTGTGGTAGTTTATGTCAGAGGAACATGCAGAAAACAGGTAATTTGTTCTTCCTTACTGTGACTGAGGGGCAATGACCACGGAGGACACAGATAGGACTATAGTGTCTTCCTGGGGAAGGGAGTCTGGCTCCTCTCTAAGGAGGGCCGGGGGTGCTGGGTGGTTTCCAGTGTGGGATGGAAGAAGCTGCTTCCATGCTCTGGGCCTGGCCCGCCCAGCAGAAACTGCCTGGCTCCCTCCAAGGTGGTAGTTTCCCTCTGCTGTTTATTGATGTGCTATAAAAAGAAAAGTGCCTGTAAACAACTCGAGTGCATGAACAACTTAATTAAAATAATTACAGTAATAGCTTGTGAAAAAAAGTAGTAAACCTAATTATTATAAAGTAGCTGTGTGGGAAGGACGAAAATTGCTAACATTCTTTAGGTCTAAGCTGCTCTATTTGGCACAGAAAACACAGAGGGTTTAACCATATCCTCAGAAGGGATCTGAGGTTCCCCTCTCCCAACTTAGATTTTAACTCTCCTGCTTCTCAGTTTTTAATTTCCCTCTTGGCAACAACCACACGTGAATGACCCCTCAGTGATTCTCACTCTGATTTGCCCCTTCTAGTCAAGCATCCGACTTCTTTTTTTTAGAGGGAGTCTTGCTCTGTTGCACAGGCTGGAATGCAGTGGTGCGATCTCGACTCACTGCAACCTCCGCCTCCTGGGTTCAGGCAATTCTCCTGTCTCAGCCTCCTGAATGGCTGGGATTACAGGCGCACCCCACCAAGCCCAGCTAATTTTTGTATTTTTAATAGAGATGGGGTTTCACTATATTGGCCAGGTGGGTCTTGAACTCCTGACCTCAGGTGATCCACCCGCCTTGGCCTCCCAAAGGGCTGGGGATTACAGGCATAAGCCACCACACCCAGCCCCATCTTTCTCTTTTTTAACTCAAAGAATTATAAAAGTTTAGAATCTGAGAAGCTCAGTGCTGAAGGAACCTGTAAACCCTCTCGTAAAAGGACCTGTAGGATGCATGGCTCTCTTTGCAAACATTCCCAGAGCATTGCCACTTGATGGTTATCCAGCCTTTGCTGGAGCCCTTTCAGCAAGGAGGAAATGACAGCTGTGGTAGCTCTGGCTGCTATCAAGAGCCTTTTTAAGTTACACTCTGTCCTTTTAGTGCCCCATATTCCTCATTCTCTGCTTCGAGGCCATAGAGAATAAGGAAACTGCATCTTCCAAATATTTGAAGGAAGAACAATGTCAGCTTATACCTTTCCAATGTCTAATTCAAGTGCCAGGTGTCCCACACACAGGAGCGAAGCTCCAGTTGAAAGGCCCCACAGTTTACCTATGCTCAGGGATGTCTACCTGTGATGGGCAGGCCAGCCCTGCAGAGAGCAGGATCGGGGTCCGCTGAGAGGAGCCACAGTCGGAGCTAAGGGAAAATTGGTGAACATCAAGCCCAGACCTAGCATAGGGAAGAGAAGAAGGACATCAAACTTGCCAGCTCAGAGGGTCAAAAGTAGAGGAGAAACAGAAAGAATGGGTCCAAAAAAGGCAGTTCAGAACTAAGAGCTTGAACAGGACATTTGCACAGGAGCTCCTCTCTCCAAGGTGATTCACGTACACCTCATGGCCATTCAGGGTGATATCCTTTATTAAACAGACACCTGGTAGTTCTTCAAGTATTCGTTGTATGACAGGCTTTTGCTACTCCCTTTATTATCCATTCTATAATCTTTGAGATCATCTCATAGAATAACTGGCCATTAGTAGGTGGAATCCATCTGACACTTTCGGGGGACAGACTAAGAGGTGCTTAAAAATGTATATCAGAACACAGAGCAGACTTTCTTTGCTCAGGAGAAATCACTTTAGTGGACTCTCTTAATTATGGAAACATAATTTGATATAGGATGGGAATTACATCAAATTACAATACTATACAGCCAATAACTTAAAACCAAATACGGGACATCTCTGCGTTTAAAACTCACCCAGTCACTCTTAACCACTTACCAGCTCTCTTTAAAGAGTTCCCTTTAATAAGCTTGTTGACTGACAAGAGAGATCCAAGATGGCTGATCACTAGCAGCTCGGGATTGTAGCTCCCAGTGAAAGCGCTGAGAACGAGAGGACGCCACACTTTCAGATCAATTTTTGTTGCTCACGCGCCAGGAGATTCCCAGTAGAGGAGCCCCACGGGTTGCCAACACGACTCTTGTGGCCGGCGAGGCGGTTTTGCTGCTGCCTTGGTGCGGCGGTTCTCAGTGCAGTCAGAAAAGCACCATCAATCTTAAAGCCGCTGTTTTGGCCGGCGCGGTGGGTTGCTCAGATTTTAGCGCCGGGAATCAACAAGTTGGACGTCCATTCAGAAACCCAACTATAAAGACGGTAATTATAAAGACCACAGATGGATAAATCTATAACGAAGGGAAGAAACCAGCCTAAAAAGGCTGAGAATACCCAAAATCAGAACACGTCTCCCTCTACAGGGGATCACAGTTCCTCATCAGCAACAGAACAAGGCCTGATGGAGAAAGACTGTGTTCCATTAGCAGAAGCAGGCTTTAAAAAGTGGATGATAAGAAACTTCTGGGAATTAAAAGAACTTGTTCTAACCTAAAGCAAAGAAACTAAGAACTTTGAAAAAAGGTTTGACGAAATGTTAACAATAACACACAATTTAGAGAGGAATATAAGTGAATTAATGG